TATGTCTCAAGAGAAATGCTAAGCTGCTTTGAAATTAAGTCTGTATATGCAATTTTCCCAAATACCAAAAGCAATCCTGACCAAAAAAGAGCCATGCTGAAGGCCTCTTCACACCTGACTGCAAGCTGTTCTACAGAGCCATAGGAACAGAAACAGCCTGATACTGGCAAAGAAAGAGACAGGTAAATGAGGGCACAGACTAGGGGACTCAGAAACAAATACACAACAGTCACCCAAGGAGTCAAAAACATCTATTGATGAAAAGTCAGCTTCTTCAAGAAATAGTCCTGGGAACGCCGGATATTAGATGTAGAATAAACTAAGCCCCTACTTGTCAGTCACTCCGGACAAAATCGATTCAAAATGCATGAAAGACCTTAATTGACTTGAAAGTCTTGAATTGCTAGTAGACAACATAGGGAAGATGTTTCAGGACCCAGGCATAGTGAGTATCTATCATGGGATTTGTTTCAACCATAAAGAACCAAGTTATATCCTTCACAGGAACATGGCTACAACTGGATAATCATATTAGGTGAATGAAGTCCATCTCAGAAAGACATCCATATTTATATGAAAATCTCCTCATGTAATCCAGTACCACTTATAGTGAAAAATGAGGGCAGAATAATATAGAAGAAAAATGAATAATAAGCATACTGGATCACTAAGATAATGTACACGCATGCACATGCAACACCTTTGTCAAAAAGACTAATCACTCGGGAAATCACATCAAGAACTCACAACTGGGATCCAATAAAATAAGTGAAGATACATCTGACAAAGTTGGAGGAAACCTTTGCTAACTCCATATCTGGCAGAGGTTTAATATCCAGAATATATGAAAAACTCAAAAAGCTAAGTGCCACAAAGCCAAACAACCAAGTCAGTAAGTGGAGTAATGCAATAAAGAGTTCTCAAAAGACGAAACTCACGCCGGGCGTTGGTGGCACACACCTTTAATCCCAGCTAAAACAAATCATCTAAGATTCTACCCTAGGAAACTAGAAAGAAAATAAGTGTGATTTTTAGCCTAAAGATAACAAGGGAAAAGAAATAATCAAAAGGGAAAAAATCAATGACCTTGAAGAACAATAGAACAAAAAATGTTAAATGCAACTGATAAACATCTAGTCAAGCTAATAAAAACAAAGGAAGGTGGCCTCAATCATCTGGTGTCAGAGTATAAGCTGTCATTACCGCCAACCTAGGACCGTTAAAGTAAGGGATAGTAAGGGAATACCACACTCAAACCTTTGCACCACATTGGGTAAGCTCAACAATAGGAAGGCAAACTGCAAATTCCTCTCTACATGATTTCCAAAAATGCCCAACATCATAAGTCACAGCACAGAAAGTGCAATCTGTGCATTCCCTTGTTTGTTAAAAAGTGCAATTTACAACTGATAACCTACCCAAAAAAAAAAACATCAATTCTAGCTAGATGATTTCATCAGTGGTTTCTACTAACCTTTAAGGAGGAAATAGATATAATTCTCCAGCCTCATCTAGAACTAAAATCTGGAGGAAAATTTCAGCATTCAGCCTGTAAGCCCATAATTACACTGATATCAAATCATAAGAAATGGAAAAAGGTACACAGACATTTGTTTGGAGCCTAAAATCCTTAACAAAATACTAGCAACTTAAAGACAGTATGTATAGTAATAATTGTAAACATGACCTTGTGAGATATGCATCCAGGATGCAAATCTGGTTTGACTCAAAGGTCAAGAATAAATAATGCAATCCACTGTGTTAACAGATTAAAGAACTCAAGAAACTAGACACCAAAATGCTAAATAATCCAATTAAAAATGGGGTACAGATCTAAACAGAGACTTCTCAACAGAAGAAATTCAAATGGCTGAAAACATTTAAGGAATTGCTCAACATCCTCAGCCATTGGGGAAATGCAAATCAAAACAACTCTGAGATATCACCTTATACCTATCAGAATGGCTAAGACCAAAAACACTGATGGCAGCTTACAATGGCGAGAATGTGAAGTAAGGGGAACACTCCTTCAGTGCGGGTGGGAGTGTAATGCAAGATGTAATTTCTTGTACTTTCCAAAAAGAAATGAAATAAAAGTCTAAACCATCTTTTAAATTTAAATTTATTTTTTCTTTTTTTGTGCTTCAAAGGATCCTACCAAGAAAATAAAAAGACAACCACAGAACTCTTCATATTTGTACATCGAACTTTTAGGTTTTATATAGAGATTATAACACTCAGCCTTCTGTTACTATGACCAACAGATACGTTGAGATCTTCTTACTTGGGTTCCTGCCTCTGAGGAACCTCATCACTAAGCTCTGTTGCTTTGGGCCTGAAAAGCATGGTGACCTGCTCATGACCAGGAAGCAGAAGAGAGGAAGAGGAATGGGCTGGGCAGAGCATAATATATTCTGAATTATGTAATTTTTAAGTAAATTCTGGGATTTTTGTTAAGAGCTTCATAACAGAAATTACATTCCTACATTTCCAATTAATAGCAATAATGACAGTAAAAATGAAAGTTTAGTGTAGTTTAAATTGCCTTTAAATTCTGATTTTTCTGATTTTATTATTTCAAATTTTCCTTAGACATTTCCTATGGATGTGTAGAGCTCACATTATCAAGGAGACAAAGATGATTTCAAAAGAGAAAATCAGCTCACATGCTTTTTTTCACCCCAGTAGAAAATGATTTTATTTCATTTCTTTTTAGAAAAGAAATCATATTTTGCATTACACTTTTCTATTAAAATGTTATATCAAAAACTGTGTTATATAAACTTTGAATATCTGTTGATGCTCACAAAGGGAAACTTAGTTTTCCCCAAATGGAGTCTCAGTGAGTAATATTAACCACACTTGAGGGCAGGCCCCATGCCCAGCAATAAACAGCAAATACAAAATGAACTCAATGGTATTTTTGGAGACTTTTTTCTCATATTGCTTTGTTGGGGCATTTTTGCCTTGATGATCCTTTGCTTGTATACTGTGGTTTCCAATTTTATGGGTTTAGTGTGTGTGTGTGTGTGTGTGTGTGATCTCTTTTTCCTATTCTGGTTTGCTTGTTTGTTTAATTTGCTTGCTGTTTTCTAAAATGAGAGAGAAGGCAGGCCTGGAGTTGGAAGGGTGGAGAGAATAACTGGAAGGAGAAGAAGCAAAAGAAACCAGAATCAAAATACATTGTATAAAAAACAAATACTTTCAATTAAAATATTTGTTGAACAAATTGATGAAGTATATGGAAATTTCAAGATAATCTTTGAACCAGAATGAATAGACAATTATTTAATCCTAGATTTGTTTTTTAATTTGAGGAGTGTGGCTCCCTATGTTTTCTATATAAAATGGAGAATGATGCCTTTGGAAAACGATCCTTGAAGCAATAAGAAATATGTACCAAAGCAGAAAATACCAAAGGAGAAACAAATTTAGATGAACTAAATGCACAATGCAAATTGTAGTAGAAAAATAAAATCAAAACGAATACTACGCTAACCAAAAATTACATAGAAAACTATCAGCATTATTTACAGTCTTAAAGTATGGTACTCTGTAGGTATTAATGGCAGTCCGTTTGGAATATTTTCTTATGATGAGAAAGTTGGTTCATCTTTTTCAAAGGCGGAATTAAAAAATTCAGAGCTATGAAGAACTTTCTAGATGTTTCTGGGAATGCTCATATGCAATTTGGTTTCTGTGAAATGACACGATGCTTGTGCAACTTGGCATTTTCATTGAGAATACGGAATGGATCTCTTTTGCCACATACAGATTTGCTTGATGTGTTTCATGGTTGGCAACATACTATTTGATGGCTGTACCATTATCTAGTGAAAAATGTCTAGTATAACAGTTAGCCTTTCTTTCCTTTCTAGGATGATCCCTTCATAGATGTATCTCAATCTTTTTGAAATGCTAAATTCAAAGCTGTGAGCACTAAAAGCTTTGTGAGATCTGTTTCCTGCCAACAATGGATCTTAGTTTTTCTCCCATACATGAGATGACTCCCTTTTTTTTTTTTGTTTCTCGAATTTTGTGTGAACAGAGTCATTTCTGTTGCAATATTTTATTATTTATTTATTTATCTGTGTATCTATTTATTTTACTTAAAGCTCTTCTCCTCTGCTGCATCCCCTCCATTAGACTGTAGTTCTATTTCTGTTTGATTTGCAAGCTGGGTTGTAGTTTGGAAAAATTGTTCTTTGTAAGAGTACTGCCATAAATAAACCATGTTCGCTGTCTTCACATGGGCTAAGGTATTTTGTACAGTAATGAATACTGGATTCCTGTTCAAATACCATCCACCCATTCACTTAACCTGTATGTATTATGCTTTGCCTCTGTATTTAAGAAACAATGGTGACTAAAACAAGACCCGAACCTTGTATAAACTTTAGGATGAAATGGACACAAAAGAGTATGTTATTTCAAATGAAGGTGATCAACATTACTTACTTGCTATATGTCACTTGTACCATAATTATGCTTGGGGACCTTCATGGCTTCTTGCTCACACATATAATCAAATGTGACAAGTATTTTGAGAAAGAGAATGACATGAGAATTTTGTTCTTTTTAATAACAAGTGAATGGCATTTACTACTGGACCTCATTCTCCCTCGTGACAAGGCATAATATATCCTAATTATTGTTTAGTTTTATTTTATTCTGGCCACTCTGGTGTTTGAGCCATAGTGCTGTACATACTGTGTTGTAATTTCGGTTGCTGGCAAGGTGAATTCCATTTTCATTTTCTCTTGGATTTCATTCTGGGTTCTAATGCTTATTCATTTATATGTAGCTTGTTAATGGCCTTATGGATATTTCATTGTTTATCAAGTAACTGGTGATGATGAAATATTTTCAGACTTCCAAAGTGTGAAACAAATGTATCTTCCTGTTTTCTGTCTCCTTTTTCCTTCTTCTTTAACTTTGTTTTGGGTGTTTCTCTTCTATTATATAAGCTAGCTAGTTTTTCTTTTCATTTTGTGTTTAAGTGTATGAAGCTAAACACTGCAGGCAACATAAGTGTATTATTAGAAAAAGCAGGGAATCCAAAGAGAACCTTCCTTCCATGGGAGTGGCAACAGGAAGCTGGCTCTCAGGTAAGAAGTAAGTCTATTTTACCACCTAGCTTTGGAAATCATAATGTCTGAGCTTTCTTGAATAGACCATGTTCAGTAAGAAAGAAAACATGACAGATACATTTGAATTCCACATTCCTCTCCTACCAGAAAACTAAGTATTTGTGTCCTTAAGGTGGTACTGATACTCCCATGTATTAAAGTTTTTCCTCTTAGTATATTATGTTCATAACATAATAAAATTGTTTTCACATGACTTTACTATTTATATAAATGTTATCCTGTTATGTATCCTTGCCAAGTCATGGATTTTTTTAACCCAGCATTACTTTCTAAGATACATCTTTCTTGATAAGCATCACTCTAGTTAACTGATAGTTGGAACGCTAGATTCTTCTGCCTGTAGACAGTTCCAAGTGTTTGTTATGACAGCTTTCTGCAATAGCATCATTTTTGTGCGTATTGCTGAATGCATGACATAGCTATTTTTTAAGAAATGCATTAGTGCCATTGTTAGTCCCATGAAGAAGACATCACAGGTTGTGCTAAGCCACTCACCAAGGCTGTCCACTCACTTCCGATTATCCAAGTCCTTGAGTTCCCTTTGGTCCACATCCTCTCTACCACCTGCTATTGCCACTTCCCCCACATCTCTTTATTTAGTTATTATTGAAAATAGATTCGTCTCTCATACAATATATCCTGACCGCTCCCTCCAGCCCTCCCAGCTTCCTTCTCACTCCCTCGGATCTGTTTCCCCTCTGTCTCCTTTCAGAAAAGAGCAGGCCTCCAAGCGACAACTATCAAACCCAACAAAAACAAAATGAAGTAAGATGAGACAAAAGCCCTCACACCAAGGCTAGACAAGACAACTCATCAGGAAGAAATGAGTCCCAAGAGCAGACAAAAGAGCCAAAAACACACCCACTCCTACTGCTAGGACTCACACAAAAACACGAGGTTAGCAGTCACGACACACAAGCAGATGACCTGGTGTAGACCAATGCAGTCCCCATGCTTGCCAATTCAGTCTCAGTGAACCCTAGTGTGCTCTGCTTAGTTGGTTGAGTGAGCCATGTTCTTCTTGTGTCTCACGTCCCTCCTGACCCCTACAATCTTTCCTCTCCTCCTGCAAGATTATGAGACATGGACCCGAGGGAGACCTCTAATTTAAACTTTCTCTCTGCACAATGTCTGGCTGTGGGTCTCTGCATCTGCTCTCATCTACTTCCGGAAGAAGTATCTCTGATGACAGTTGGACGAGGCTCCAATCCTTAAGTGTAGCACAGTATCATTAGGAATGATGTCATTCCAAAGTAGCTGCACATTCGCACTCTCAGAAACAATGGAGGAGTGTTCCCTTGTTCCACATCCTCACCAGCATGAGCTGTCACTTGTGGTTTGTTTGTTTGTTTGTTTGTTTGTTTTTAATATTAGCCATCCTGGCAGGTGTAAAATGGAATCTCAAAGTAATTGTGTTTTGCATTTCTCTGGTGGCTAAGGATTTTGAGCATATCTTTAAGTGTCTCTCAGCCATTCGAGATTCCTCTATTGGATATTCTTTGTTTAGATCTGTATCCCATTTTTTCAAGTTGATTAATTGGTTTGTTGATATCTAGTTTCTTCAGTTCCTTATATATTTTGGACATAGTCCTCTATCAGATATGGAGTTGGTAAAAAAAATAGTTTCCTGTTCTATAGGCTGCCTTTTTGACCTATTGACAGCGTACTTTGCCAGATAGAAGCTTTTCAGTTTCATGCGGTCCCATTTATTAATTGTAGGTCTGCGCCTATGTTTTGAGCGTTCCATTCAGAAAGTCGCCTCCTGTACCATTGTGTTCAAGGCTATGCCCTACTTTCTCTTCTATCAGGCTCAGTGTATCTGGTTTTATGTTGAGGTCTTTGATCCACTTGGACTTGAGTTTTGTGCAGGACGATAAGTATGGGTCTATTTACATTCCTCTACATGCATATATCCAGTTTGACCAGCACCATTTGTTGAAAGATTCTTTTATTCTGGTGTGTATTGATGGCTTCTTTATCAAAATGAGGTGTCCAAAGCGTAAAAATCTGGGTCTTAAATTCAATTCCATTAATCAATGTGTCTATTTTTATTACAGTGCCATGCATTTTTGTTATTCCAGCACTGTAGTAGGGATGGCAATACCTCCAGAAGTTCTTTTAGTGTTCATGATTTTTGTTGCTATCCTAGGTTTTTTGGTTTTTCCACATGAAACTTAAAATTGTCCTCTCAAAGTCTGTAAAGAATTATTGGAATTATGGTAGTTATTGCAATGAATCTGTAGATGGCTTTTGGTAGGAAGACCATTTTTGCTATGTTAACCCTACTTATCCATGAGCGTGGGAGATCTTTCCATCTTCTGACAGACTCTTCAATTACTTTCCTGAAAGACTTGTACTTTTTGTCATACAAGTCTTTAATTTGCTTGGTTAGAGTTACCTCAAAATATTTTATGTTATTTGAGGTCATTGTGAAAAGTATTGATTTACTGATTCTCTTTCTTTTGCCATTTTTATATATAAGGGCTACTGATTTTTTTTAGTTAATCATGTATCCAGTCACTTCAATGAAAGTACTTATCAGTTGTAGGAGTTCTCTAGTGAAATTTTTAGGGTCACTTATATATACTATCATATCATCTGCAAATAAAGAAATTTTGACTTCTTCCTTTCTGATTTGTATCCCCTTGATCTCCTTCAGTTGTTTTATTGTTCTAGCTAAGACTTCAAGTACTATATTGAATAGATATGGAGAGAGTGGGCCGCCTTGTCTTGTTCCTGATTTTAGAGGAATTGCCTTGAGTTTCTCTCCATTTAATTTGATGTTGGCTACAGGCTTGCTGTAAATTTCTTTATTACATTGAGGTATATCCTTCGTATCCCTAATCTTTCTAGAATTTTTATCCTGAGGAGTGCTGTATTTTGTCAAAGGTCTTTTCTGCATCTAAGGAGATGGTCGTGTGGGATTTTTTTTAATCTTTTGGTGTATTATGATGAATTACATTGATTGATTTTTGTTATACCATCCCTGCATCTCTGGGATGAAGCCTATTTGATCATGCTGGATGATAGTTTTGATGTGTTCTTGAATTCGGTTTGCAAGTATTTTATTGAGTATTTTTGCACCTAAAACCTTCTAGCCCTGGCATTTTTGTTTGTTTGGTTTGTTGTTGCTTTGGGGGGACTTTTAGTGACTGCTTGTACTTTACTAGGGGGTTACAGATCTATTTAAATTGTTTATCTGATCTTGATTTAATTTTAGTAGGTGGTATCTATTGAGAAAATTATCCATTTCTTTTAGATTTTCCAATTTGGGGGACTATACATTTTTTGGTTGGTTGGTTGAGAGGTTTTGTTGTTTTGCTTCGTCTGTTTTCAGGGTTTCTCTGTAGCTTTGGAGCCTGTCCTGGAACATGCTCCATAGACTACACTGGCCTTGAACTCACAGATATCTGCCTGCCTGTGCCTCCTGAGTGCTGGGATTAAAGGCATGTACCACCACTGCCTGGCCCAACTGTAGGTTTTAAAAGAATTTCTTTATGATTTTCTGGATGCTGCATGTGTTACTATGTCCCCATTTCATTTCTGATTTTCTAAATTTGAATATTCTCACTCTGACTTTTGGTTAGTTTGTATAAGGGTTTGTCCATCTTGCTGATTTTCTCAAAAACCAACTCTTGGTTTCATCGATTATTTATGTTGTTTTCTGTTACTATTTTATGGATGTCAGACCTTAGTTTGATTATTTCTTGCCATCTACTCCTCTTGGGTATTCTTGCTTCTCATTGTTCTTGAGCTTTCAGGTGTGCTGTTTCGTAGCTAGTATGAGATCTTGCTATTTGCTATTTTTTTTTAATGTTCACATTTAGTGCTACGAATTTTTCTCCTATCACTACTGGCATTGTGTCCCATAACCTTGGGTATGCTGGTTTGTAGAATTCTAGAAAGTCTTTAATTTCTTTCTTTATTTCTCTCTTGACCCATTTTTCATTCAGTATAGAGTTGTTTGGGATTCCATGAGTTTGTAAGCTTTCTTTAGTTTCTGCTGTTGTTGACTTTCAGTTTTAATCTGTGGTGGTCTAATAGGATGCAATGAATTATTTCTATTTTCTTGTGTCTATGTGGTCAATTTTGGAGAAAGTTCCATGGGGTTCTGAAAAGAAACTTTTGTGTGTGTGTGTGTGTGTGTGTGTGTGTGTCTGTGTGTGTGTGTGTGTGTTTGAGTGAAATGCTCTGTAAATATCGATTAGGTTCATTTAGTTTATAACACTTAGCTCCAGTATTTCTCTGTTTAGTTTTTGTCTGGATGATCTGTCCATTGCTGAAAGTGAGATACTGAAGTATCCCACCCAGTGTGTAAGGGTTAATATGTGATTCAAGCTATAATAGTCTTGCTGCCGGGCGGTGGTGGCGCACGCCTTTAATTCCAGCACTCGGGAGGCAGAGGCAGGCAGATCTCTGTGAGTTCAAGGCCAGGCTGGACCGACAGCCTCCAAAACAATACAGAAAAACGCTGTCTCGTAAATACAAAAAAAAAAAAAAGCTATAATAGTCTTGCTATTACAAAAGTGGTGCCCTTGTATTTGGGGCATAGATGTTAATAACTGAAATGTCTTCAGGGTGGACTTTTCCTTTGATGAGTATGTAGTGTCCTTCCCTATCTCTTTTGATTAGCTTTGGTTTGAAGTTTATTTTTTAGACATTATAATGGCTATTCCAGCTTTCTTCTCAGGTCTATTTGTTTGGAATATGCTTTTCCTGCCTTTTACTCTGAGGTAAAGTTAATGTTGCAGTTGTCTTACTTGGATACAGCAGAAAGATGGATTCTATTTTCACATTCATTCTGTTAGTCTGTGTCTTTTGTGAAGGAATTGAGACCAATGATACTGAGAGACATCAATGACCAATGATTGTTGATTACTGTTCTTTTGTTGTTATTGTTGGTGGTTGTGATGTGTGTGTGTAGGCATGTGTGTGTGTGTGTGTGTATGCGCATGTATACACACTTTCCTTCATTTGGTTTTGCTAGAGTGAGATTATTTTATTTCCTGTGTTTTCATGGGTAAATTTAACCTCCTTAGGTTGGAGTTTTCCTTCTAGTTCCATCTGTAAGGCTGGATTTGTAGACAGATATTGTTTAAATTTGTCCTTACCATGCAATATCTTATTTTCTCCGTCTGTGGTAATTGAAAGTTTTGCTGGATATAGTAGTCTGGCCTGATATCTGTGGTCTATTAGAGTCCTCAGAACATCTGTCTAGGCCTTGCTGGCCTCTAGAGTCTCCATTAAGAAGTCAGGTCTGCCTTTATATGTTACTTGGCCTTTTCCTTTGCAGCTTTTAATATTCTTTCTTTGTTCTGTATGTTTAGTGCTTTGATTATTATGTGGTGAGGAGACTTCGTTTTCTGATCCAATCTATTTGGTGTTCTGTATGCTTCTTGTACTTTTATAGGTATCTCCTTTAAATTAGGAAAAATTTCTTTTATGATTTTATTGGAAATATTTTCTGGGTTTTCGAGCTGGGTTTTTTCTCCTTCCTCTATTTCTATTAGTCTTAGGTTTGGTCTTTTCACAGTGTCACAGATTTCCTAGATATTTTGTGCCAGGAACTTTTTAGATTTAACATTGTCTTTGACTGACGCATCCATTTCTTCTATTGTATCTTCAATGCCTGAGAGTCTCTCTTCCATATCTCTTATTGATGAAGCTTGCCTCTATAGTTCCTGTTTGGACTCCTACATTTTTCATTACAGAATTCCCTCAGTTTGGTGTTTTCTTTATGGCTTCTATTTCCATTTTTCTGGTCTAGAACAGTTTTCCTTTCCTTCAACTGTTAGTTTGCTTTTTCTTGGCTTTCTTTAAGGGGTTGGTTCAGTTCCTCCAACTGTTGTTTATGTTTTCCTGGATTTCTTTAGAGGATTAATTTCCTTTTTAGGGACCTCTATCATCTTCACAGAGTTGGTTTAAAAAGACTTTTTGTTGTGCTTCAGCTATGTTGGAATATTTAGGGCCTCATTATTATTAATTATGACAGCTAGGCCTTATCGTGGGCTTGTTCCTAGCTAGTTCTTATAATTTAAATCAACCCATATTTTAAAATTCATGTTATTTTACATAGCTCGGTTACCTTCACTATGTGCTGTCCTTCCTGCTGCCTCCCTGTCTGGATGGTGACTCCGCCTTTCTTCTTTCTGGAGACCTGTCTGTCCCTAGAAGTCCTGCCTAACCTCTTCCTGCCCAACTATTGGCCACTAGGCTCTTTATTAAACCAGTCACAATGACACATCTTCTTCCCACAGTGTGAAGGAGTATTCTGTAACAATATGGGTTTGGTATGATTACAGGACTAGCTGCTGACTTCCGGGTTTCTCTTTGTTGGGTGGGTGTTTTTGTCCCTTAATTTCTCTTTCCTCTCTGGAGTTTCAGGGAGTGTGACGGCTGCATGTTGCCTGCTTTGTTGGTCTGCTTGGCTGGTGTGTTCACAGGGAAGCCGGCTAGGGTTGGGGACTAGGCCAAAGCTGCCAGTGGGAGGAGAGAGAGACCAGAGGGGATGATCTGTGGGATCCACAGGAAGCATGCAGGGGGGTGGGGAGAGGTTGTAGCCTGTGTTCTATTGCAGGTCTGGGGAAGAACCTGAAGGACCTGGTCTGCTGTGGAAACAGGCCTGAGAAGGTCTGTGGTCAGTCTCCCTGGTCTTCTGCTATTCCCATTTTTTAAACTCTTTGCTAATTCACGAGAAAGAACTAAAATGCCCATTGTATCTTACTTGTATTTAACTGATTCCTAACAGGTTGAGCTGTGGTGATATTTTGTTATGTTATAACAAATAAAGCTGGTCTGAAGGTCAGCATGCAGAGCTAATCACACTAGTTAGCAACAGAGGCCAGGCAGTGGTGGCACACACCTTTGATCCCAGACAGAGACAGAGACAGATGGATCACTGTTAGTTCAAGGCCACCCTGGGTTACATGAAATTAATCCAGTCTAAAAGAGAAAAAGAGTTCGCACAAAGGTGATCCTAGTACTTGGGAATCACGTGCCTTTAATCCCAGCACTGGGGAGGAAGGGGCAGATGAATCCCTCAGAGTTAGAGGCCAGCCTGGTCTATGGTGCCAGTTCCAGGACAGCCAGAGCTACAAAGAGAAACCCTGTCTCCAAAATCAAACAAACAAAAAAGTTTTTTTAAGTTGTTTATGTTAACTTGTCACATGCGCCTTAATATACAACATGCATGATCTGCCTGGTATCTACCTACCTATGATCCTGGTAACATAGCACTAAGTATAATAGATTAATAATGAGTCATAACATAAAAGTTCAAGTCCCCTACCTTCTTCTTTCTCTTGAAAGTTGTCTTCCCTATTGTCCTCTGATAGAGACTGTCACCTTTTTGTCTGAACCAAGTCTTTTAGTTGGTGAGTATTTTCTAAATTCTATTCTTAAATTTATTTTTAGATTTAAAATTGTTTTTTCTGTCATGGTTATACTTGTATTTTGAATATTTATACCTAATTATATTATATTTTGTTGACACTGCACAGCATATTTTTAATGTTCTCATTATATGGAACATAACTGTTTTTTAAGTATTGACTATTTCAACCAACCTTGTTGAATTCTTTTTTTGTTTGTTTGGGTTCTTTTGGTTTTTGAGGCAGGGTTTCTCTGTGTAGTTTTGATGAATGTTCTGGAACTTTCTTTGTAGACCAGGATGGCCAGGAACTCACAGAGATCTGCCTGCCTCTGCCTCCCAAGTACTGGGATTAAAGGTGTGAGTCACCAAAGCAGGTCTCCTTGTTGAATTCTTATCATGCTCCTTAGTCGTCTTAAACTGTCAGATAAAGTAGACTGTGAGAGATTTAAATAACAGATTAGTATCTCAGAGGTCTTAGTGCTCAAAGTCCTAGATCTGGTCTATCAGGGTTGACTTCAGAGGACGGATAATCTCCTCACTTTCATATGATGTCCCCTCTGCACCCAGCTGAGGGGGAGAAAATGGCAGTGATGTGTCCTCATCTTAATCCTATCAGCTCAGGGCCACACTCTCAAAACCTCGCTGTAACTACCTCCCCAGAACCAGATGTGCTGGCCATGCAGTCACTCTGTGAGACAGGGAGGGTAATTTAGGTGTGGGATAAGATAACAGCTCATAGCAAGTCCTGAGATTTTATTTATATGATCTCTGTATTTCTGTGTAAATACTTATATAATCTTCCTTTTGCAGTATTAAGACCACAACACTAAGTAAGTCAACTGAAACTCTGAGGAAGGCTGTTTCTCCACTAGGCATAACATTTATATAGGTATGTTCTTTACTTGTTTATTTGTTTGTTTTTTAACTAGATAAGCCACACCAGTCTAGTTTTCTTCCTCTGTTGGTAATATTTTCTTTCTTAAATGTAAGTGGCAATTTACTTACATCTAACACATTCTCTATTCGAGACTTTTTTAAGTTTTATACGTTGTTTCCTAGCGAGCAGACATGTAAGTAAGATTTTGAAGCCAGCCTTAAATTCCTTGGAACACAGAATCCCAATAGAGAAGACAGGAAACAAAATGGCTTTGACAATGTGCTGTTATTTTACGTGGCAGCTGAAAGGCTGGATAAAATGGAACAGAGTAAAAGGTAGAGGATGGTAGGAGGTGAAGCCGCTGAGACAAAATGTGAAGGGGACCAGAGGAGGGTTTTAAGCATGTGTGTCTTTATTTGCATTTTCAAAACACGTTCAGCTGTCACATGGAGAAGTCATTGCAGACAGACACGCGAAAGTGAAACCACCATCATAGGCTGTCCCAGGTGTCCAAACAAAGCAGCTGAGCATGGCTAAGGATGGAATGGCTTCAAGAGGGAGGAAGTGGAAGACATCTTGGGGGAAGAGCCCATGGGGGATGCTGGGCGGGGTGTACACAATTTAGAGAACAATGAGGATTCTCGCTGTGGCTCTGATCCCATTTCCAAATACGCTTTTTCATGGGTAGCTTCTAGCTACTTTTCTAGATGCTTTGCAATTTTAGTTTTATTTAATGATAATCTGAAGAGTAGCACAAAAGGTTTTAACTTTTCAGTTGTTTTTGTATTAAGGTGAAACGTGTTTTGACATTAACGTTGCTATTTTATTTTTCTTGCCTTTCTGTACCTGCTCTTTCCACTTCCAGTTTTCATGAACGTCTAGATGCGGTTGTTGCTCACTGTCCAACACACAGATGCTCTTGTCTCCACTGCAGTTTCCAAGTGTTGTCTTAAGAAGTTGCAAGTGCTGATCACATAAATAGGCTTTATCATAACTATAATTAACTGAGGCTTGATGAAGGCAGATCTAAACACACTTTTCTTTTGGTCTGGACTTGGAGTGTTTGGGTCTTTCAAGTTCCCACAGCCTTGCCACTCAGGCCCAGTATGTGGATGGATCCCTTTGACTGGAAGTCCATGTGTCTTCCAGGGTTGCTCTCCATTTCTGTCCTCTCAGGGACACCATGAGCTGCTGCTGGGCTCTTTGGTCTTATAACGCAGTTTTAAATGTCTCCCTGTGAACTTGTTTTCTTAAACATTTACCCTGTTCTCAGGAAGCAAAGATAAGAACTATGATTTTTTTTCCTCACCCAGTTCAGGAAACAGGGGATACCTGTTTTGTCATCTTTTGTCACCTTGTCTCAAGATAGTTTTTAGAAAGTAAGACAGGCTACATACAGGTCCAGAGCTCAACTGTGGAAGACTTAGGCAGCACACGCCAGCTCCCACAGCACAACACACATTCTCGTGGAGAAAACTAAACTAAAGAGGACCAAATACCTACACCCCCGAGAAATAATAAATTGATGTTTCCTCTGACACTCTTTTGATCTTTTCTTGTCTACTCTGGACACTTCAAGGTATTGCGAACTGTGATTCCCTTGCATCATTTTTGGAAATCGATCTTAACGGAGACTAAATCTCTGCTTGCCAAGAGGTTATTCTTATTCCTCTGATATTTCCGTGGTCTGAGTACAGCCCTGCCAGGTAAGGTGTGGTACGAACGCCCGTGGATGAGATCAACAGCCAGACTCCCACCGCTATTCTAGCCAGAGAGAAATTCAAAATCGTTTGTCCTTATTATTTCTTCTGCCAACAATAGATTTCTAGACTAGATGATGAATTATGGAAATTCTAAGATTCCATGTATGCAAAAGGAGATGTTTTAAAAATAGGGACAGGCCTCTTAAAAATGTGTGCCTATGCATGTGTTCGTGGATCCCTCTTACCATTGATGCACTCTTAATGTGTGTACTCTGGCAGAACAGCCTACGCCACGCACCAAATCTCAGCATGGAGAGTAACGGGAGCAACCGAAAGGGTTGGTGAGCTCCACCCAGCCCCTTTGCCTCCTTAGAGCAGGGGACCACTGTCCTCTTTCCCGAGTATCTTTTCTATAATGTTAAGTTTCACGAAGAGTCCCCAGAACATACCTTTCCACTGCCCCCACCTCCAAATGTGTCTTCCTGCAAGTTTTAACAGAACTCTAGACTTTGAAAAGGTACAAGTAAAAATGTTGAGAAAGAAGGCCACCTGTAACTGCTTTTTGCAATTAAAAGAAAAAGAAAAAGAAAATGGAGAGGGGGGAGAAAGTACACTTTGATTTTAGAGATCTTGAAAATGCACAAAAGCAGAGAAAGTAAACACTTTTCACCGTCTTATAATCACAGTTACTATGTATACTCACTTCCACTTTTCCCACATGTATTCAAATATATGTTTGAGTATAATAACTGTTTTCAGCTTTTCTTCTTATTTCATGATCACTTTAAACTCTGTTATTACTTCTTCAAAAGCAACATAAAACTTCAAAGCTACCAGTATTCCTAATAAAGAAATTCACAAAGAAATGGGGACAACTCAAAAAAAAAAAAAAGGATGAGAAATAACTGCCAATTAGCTATATGCTATAGCTGGAATGTAATAAAACACAATTTTAAATTTAAAGATTTGTTTTCCCCTGTAAACTCTGGGAAAGATATTCAGACCTCTGGGTTCAGTGCTGACAGGTAACTCACCATAATAATATCCATTAAAATTTTAATGTCTTACTGAGACTTTTAACATGTCAGGGTGTGGTGCCCTGGGTGGAAGTCAGAGGCCAACTTGAGAGAGTCTGTTCTCTGCTTCCTCTGCGTAATCCCGGGGGTTGAATTCAGATCGCCAAACTTCGAAGCAAGAGCCTTTACCTCCTGAGGCATTTTGGTGGCTTGGAGTTGCATTCTGTTTGCATGTTTGTTCTATTTTTCAGTGCAGCCACGGAACTCTCTAGCAAAATGATACTTTCGGAACACACACTTCAACCAGGCAGAAAGCACACATTCCCACTGAAACCTTCTTCCTCATCTCACAAATGGGCAACTAATAAATAATTTTTGATAAGTGCTTTAATAAATTGAATGTCTAAAATACACATTAATTGAAACTAAAGTCTATAGTAGTACTTTTAGATCCTAGCAAGTACTTTCTAGGATAATTGAGTATCAATTCCATGCTTTGGCTTTTGTTTTGAAAGGCTTGCTGCTTATACATGCTACTTATACATGCTTATACATGCTACTTATACTGAGCAATTACAAGAGTCCATTCTCTAGAACCTAGGGTAAATCTCACAGACCAACTTGACCTAAAAACTTAAAGTCTACAATGATCTCATCCAAACTAATGGCACACCGTATCCAGTTTTTAATTATACTGCTGCTGTTAGAATGGCTGATGGCTCTGCCCAGGGTGCATTGCAGGAGAGTTAGACCCTTCCGTCCTGCCCTGAGCCATCTCACTAGAGCACGCTGCCCTTTTCTGTAATGCCCCATCAATGTCAATGCTGGGAGCATTCTGATCCTTCTGATGGGCCTTCAGCTTCTGGTGAGGGAACCAGAGGAAAGCTAAGCACCGTACAAAGTCATTTGCAAAGTAATAACAATGTTTCCTGCTCAAGCCATACCTCAGAAGAGATTTAATTGGACCAAATTACCCCATCCCAAGAATAATACTTTATACTTTATGTCACAGTGATCTCTGAAGGGTCTTGAAGAGATTTATGAATATTGATTAAACATCAGCACATCACTTTGAAGGAGATGATATTAATGCTGTTACACTGAACCCAAAGAAGGATGGTTGCCTATCCCAGAGCAAAGCAGTCAGGAAACAATCCCAATCTGCCTGACTCGATGTCAGGACTATTGTCCCATAAGACTACGAAGCTTTGGGAGATCTTACTTCCATGGCATAACTAAAATGGTCAAAGAGGGGGAAAATTTATTTTCCAGCATATCGTATAATTGCCACAAAAGAATGTATGTTTGATTTCTAGAGTCAGAAAATATTCGAATTCTTTCTCTTGATCCCCCGAGATTTCAGCTGGACAAGTTCTGTTTATAATTAGTCTGCCCTCCATTTTCCAGTTATAAACATTTGGCATCAGCCGAATCACACATGAAATTCGAAAATCACTGGATCTGGGAGGAATATCAAAAAAAAAAAAGCGGAGTAAAGTCTTTCTGATTTCCAGATGAGAAACCTTGGGCCCAGGAGGGAATGAAAGATGAAAGGGGTCTCATTCCAAACAATGGCGAGGCTCCACCGTTGTTGAAATGTCTCTGGTTATACAGCAAGCCCCCACACGGGACTCTAAGGGCTTCATTCCTTAATGTGGGAGGCAGTGGACTCAAAGAATACTTTAAAGAATAGCTGAGGTGGTGTGAGTAATTCTGTGAAAAGTGAAAGTGATGGCAAACAGACTAAGTTTTCAGCCTTTTCAGCCAGACCAACACACACACACACACACACACACACACACACACACACACACACCCCTCTAAAGGACAACTCTAGGGACAACTCTAAAGCTCTAATATGGTTGCTGTAACTGCCCTCAACAGACTCAGATGCTACCAAAATGAACAGTGTATGGGGAACCATCCACTCTAGCGTCAGCCCCCCACGAATGCTAGTCTTTTCCTCTAATCAGCCTTCCCCAGCCCTCTGTCCATCTCAGAAACAGGGGTCTGAAATTACATGTCCTTTCCGTGTACCTCCGTGTGCCTTAACAACTACAAAAGCAGATTCTGATTGTATTTGCCGAGGCTTCACACACTCTTATCAGATAACTTCTTTTAGCAGTTAGTAAACTATTCTTTGGCCTTAAAACAATTACTAATGTGAATATGTGTACTTTGAAGATTATAATCAATTAACTATGTGTGAAATCAGTGGAAGCCTTATACGCATGCATTAGTCAGATTAACAGCTGCCAGGTGAGCCTGTGTTTGGGAAGAGCCTGGAAGAACTCCCTGGGATGTAGATCCTGGATGATCTGAGTGCTCGCTGGTCGGCATCCCTGCTTTGGGAAGGTAAGCAAGACTTGCCCTCTTAATCAAAACACAAGATCTGTTTGTTGTTTGTTGCTGTGGCTTTTCTTGTTATTAAACGGACTGCCATGATCCAGGAGATAAAACCATTTCAGGAACACTTCTGCTGCTCAATGACCATCCTAACACTGCCTTCACAGTATCTCCCCATCACTTGCAGCTTCAGAAATTAAGTAAAGAAACAAAAGGAAGGTGATAAACAAGTGTAGGCAGAGTGTCTTCACGCACCCAACTGCATTTTTAAAATAGAAGCTATGACAAGACAGATTAATTTTGCTATTCTCTTTGGAACACACCAAATGTCTAATATTTAAATATTGGTGACACCACTCTCCATATCAAGCCATTCTCAACATGGTGAACTCTTTCCTCAACCCACAATCAGAGATTTCATTGCATTGTAAAAGAAAAATATTTTTGGAAATGAAAGTGTATCTTTAACATTTCCAAACAAATGAGTTCATATTCCATAGACGCCATAGTCATAAGTATGTCACATGCAAAAATGATACCATATAATTAGAAGTGGATTTAGACAGAAAGACAGAAAGATGAGCTGTAAAAGCAGATAATTAGTACACTGTTGTAATTGGCAAATACTTGTCAATCTCATGGTAACTGTGTTCAGAAAAGGACTTCTGCCAGTTGACTAATTTTTCCTGAAGGCAGTTTCATCCCTCTCTTTAAGTGGAAAGTTTGAATAGCTGTCTTCTCAAAAATTGCATTATTATATTTCATAAACCGATTTATGTTGCAAAGTATTGCTGCGTTTTAAAGTTTGAAAAGATGTATCAACTCTAAGAACCGAATAAATATTATGCTTATGAAATGAAAGCACTATATTACATCTAATAATCAAATTTAAATGTAAATTTAAGTGTGTTCTTTCAAAAATAAACATTATTTTCTGAATGAAAAGTGACTTTAAAACAAAGGGAAGTAAACAGTTTTCAGTGAATGTGGATAATCAGTTCAAAATGCCTGCACGCTGCAGAGGGAAACTTTTGGCGATGTATTCCAGAAGTCTGAATATTTCTAATTGTGAAGTAGACGACAAGGAAGGAGGAGAAAAGAATTTAAAATTTTAAGCAAAAAGAAATGTTTTCTCATGTTCCCTCCCCAAATATTTAGCAGAATGCAATCATACATAGGGATTTTTTCCCCCAGATTAATACCAGAACTCAGCACACTGAGTTCCCAGACACAGCCTTGCCTAGACTGTGCATGTCCTTAAACCTCCCTCTTCTGTAATATAGGGGGGATGTGTTATGCCAGGAGTTGGAGATATAAAGGAAGAAGGTAGATCTGGGTTGTGCTTTGCACATAATAGAATTTATTAAATTAACAATAGAAACAACATTTTCAGCTTAATTACTGACTAGCATTTTTGGGGACTGACAAGTCACTTCGACCAACGAT